ATTATTATTATTATTATTATTATTATTATTATTATTATTATTATTATTATTATTATTATTATTATTATTATTATTATTATTATTATTATTATTATTATTATTATTTATTTTCTTTTTCTTTTAAAGCTGCTGTTGGCCTGTGATTTGAACAGGTCTGCATTGACCTTCTTCAACAGTGAATCTGAGCATAGTAATAAAGTCAAAAAGAATGAAAAAAAAAGAAGTTCCTTTGACCTTTTTGTTTAGATTCCTCGTCACAGTTTCTTGGCAAGATTTTCAGAACTGGTTTGCCATTGCCTTCTTCCTAGCTGAGAAAGTATATCTGGCTCAAGATCACTTAGCTGGCTTTGTGCCCAAGGTAGAACTATAACTCACGGTCTTCTGGTTTCTCCTGATGCTTTCACCGCTGCCCCAAACAGGCTCTCTCCATTGACATAGGCAATCTTATATTTATAAAATTTCAATAATATAAATATGTGTGATAACCACATTATCTTTGACTAATATTCAAAATATATAAAAGTGTAATTTCTAATAACATTTTTAATCCCCCAGCGTCACAATTCCTCACACACTAATATCAAGGAGCTAATAATTCTTTGCTCTGAGTGTGTGTGCGCTTTTGAATCAGTTTTGGATTCCTGGCAACTGCCTTGCCATTTTCTTGGCAAGATTTTCAGAAGTGGTTTGCCATTTCATTTCCAGGGCTAAGAGAAGTGACTAACTCAAGTCACCTAACTAGCTTCATGTCGAAGGCAAAACATTGCTAGTAGCTTAATCAGACAAATCATTTTGCTAAAAAACAATGCAATAATGGATTTTGCAGTTATTAGAATAAACAAGTTGTTTCAGCTGCTTCTATAAAACAAACAGACCAGAACTGATGTTCAAAGTCATCTGCCTATTGCTAAAATGAAAAAAAAGTTTCTAGTATCTAGTAATTCAAAATACAAAATATTGCTCTGCTTATATTTCTGAGTCATCCTCCTCAAATACTATTATTTGTTGCTAGAACTATCATCATATTTACATGAAGACACTTGAAATGCATGTTATTATACCACAAGCATGCTTTTATCAACTGCAACTATTCTTACTACAACAAAAATCAGATCAGGAGACATCCCCATGACATATCCAATATGGACTGGACAGGGGTGGGCTGCAACAGGTTCACCCGGGTTCGGGCAAACATTAAAACTAATTAAAGCTAATGTTATGGCCGGTTCAGAGAATCTCCAAATCCGACCTCTGGCTGGCCCCTCCCAACCCTCTCCACCTCTCCCCTTCAAGGAATCTCCACGTGGCCTATTTTGGATGCGAGGTAAGTGCAGGGTCCACGCGGAGGCTGGGAGAGGGTGAAAAGCCCAGGGGAGGCCATTTTCCCCCTCTCAGAGGCTTGAGGAAAGCCTCCGGAGCCCAGGGAAGGCAAAAAAGCCCCCCCTCGCCGTGGTGCAGGAGGCCGACTAGGCCACGCCCACCATGGTCACACCCACTCAGCAACCGGGCAAAGAACCCATTGCTGAAATTTTTGAAGCCCACCCCTGGGACTGGATGTAGCATACTACAGTAAGCATGACCCAGTCTATTAAAATAGTGATATTGATAATGTAAACATTTTAAGTTTATTATAAAAGCTTAAAGTACATATACAACGCCTTTGAAAAATGTTCATTATTAGCACTCAAATTTATCATGCCCAAAGCTTCATTGAGCTTGTTAAAAGACAACCAATAAACTGAAAACACTTTTACATTGTTTTTCTTTTTATATAATTAGTTATTCATCTTAACACAGAACTCACTTTTTTCAAGATGCAAAAATAATTTTGGCATTGAAGCAGGAGTCTCAATATTCCGCCTTTTTGGCTGTGGAGAAGCGCTGCTTTCTGACAGCCTATCACAGTTGGATGTGTGACGCGTAGAACGCCTTAGAGACTGCAGGATTTCAGGTTCCGTTTTTCTGCGTTTAGGTGTTGCAGGTTCTCCTGTTGCAGGCTGACTATCTGTGGATTGTGGAGTTGATGGATTCAGAAGAGGTGGGCTTGGAGAAAGCTCTTCTTGATTTCTGATCAAATAAAAAATATGGTGAACTAGGATGTTGAGTGATTATTGTGGGCCTATATACAAGGCCAATAAAGAACATTTTAAATAGTAACAATGTAACTTTCATCATTATTGAAATGTCTTCTTTCAGCTTACTGGCTGGCAGTAAAAATTATAGTTTTGATTACAAGTTTTAAAAAATGCCATTAAAAACCATACTATTTCTTGAAAGGAATGCAAAAAACCAAACCCACCTGTTAGAATTTGCTATACTCTCTTTTATTGGTAGAAAAAATTTGGAGGATGTCACCTTCTTAAACTGTGCTTGCTCGTAAGGATACAGTAGAATAAGAGGAAGAGTGAAGTCAAAGGTTATTCTTAGGCCATCCACCATTTCTTTACATAATTCAACACTAGAAAAATAAGATTACAAAAGAAATAGGTACTTTATATAACTGTTAATATTTTATTTTGAAGAACAAAGTCATAACAATCAGTATTATTTATTAAAGTTGTATGCTGCCCTTTTTGCCTAAGGCGACTCTTATAAGGTACTTATGACCCAGTTCTGAAGTTGTGATGGCTGACCACTCCCCCCACCACATTTTGAGTGCTCAGCAACTGACTTGCATTTATAGTTATTTGCAGCATTTTGTATTCATATGAATGCAATTTATGACATATTTGTCAAAAATTGGCCTTTACATCCTGGTTTTGGCAAAAAACACCCCATAGGGAATAATGGTTCACTTAGTAATTGCATACTTGCTTAATGATCATGGATTTGCTTAATGACCACTACAAAGAAGGTTGTAAAATTGGGTCAGTCACGTGGATGACTCACTTTATGACTGACATGACTTACCACCATAATCGGCAGAATCTATTACCGCATTTTACCGGACTATAGAGCGCATCGGAATATACGCCGCACCCACTAAATTTTAAAAGAAAAAAATATTTTTACATATATTAGCCGCACCAGACTATAAGCCGCAGATATATATGCGTCAAGTGCACCAAAAACTACCGGTAGCGTCTTCTTTTTTGCATTGACCTCTTGCGTCGTTTTTGCGCCCCGATGGCAGTTAGCGAAGAAAAATCTATAGATAAGCCGCATTGTTGTACAAGCCGCAGCGTTCAAAGCATGGGAAAAAAGTAGCGGCTTATAGTCCGGTAAATACGGTAGTCATAAGTCGAAGATTACCTCTAACGAAGAGTGTTTTAGAGATCTGTATAAATATGATAGCGATATGTTAAAGAGTAATCATAAGAAATGCATGTTATGTCAATAAAAAGTTGATGAAAAGAAAGTTATACTACATTATTACAAAAAGTTGAAATTAGGCAAATGGAGAAAAGTTAAAATATGGATATAGTTGCCTTATTAAATGGCTATATGACTTATTTAAAAGAACAGCATAATTGTTCCTTTATACAAAGTGAAATGAAAGCAAAACTATAGGAAATAAATTTATTAAGCTTGCTAATACCTAATTTCAACTTTTTGTAATACTGTAGTACAACTTTCTTTTCATCAACTTTTTTTTGACATAACATGCATTTCTTATGATCTACTCTTTAACATATCACTATAATACTTATACAGATCTCTAAAACATTCTTCATTAGAGGTAATCTTCGACTAATTAGAGCTTGGAGTTTCATTTTAAACATTCACTTAAATAGTGTTTGCTTACTTTTTTTCTGGTGGGATATAATGGAGATTCAAGTTGGTATGTGATGTCATTTGATGGTGACGGGATCTTTCATTGGCTGAAAAAGCGGCATTAATGGCAAAATGCTTTACGTATGATTCCAAGATGGTTATTATATTTGTCTGACATGGCAGTTTCACAAGCTACATTAAAAAAAACACCAAATTAATTAATTTACATTCTCTGTTCATACTTTCAAATAAACATAGTGCTTATACAGATAAAATGGATCTTTTTTACAAAAAAAATAGTTGAACACCACCTCAAACAACAGTCAAATCTATTCTCCGCTCTCTTGCTCACTAGCCTATAATCTGAACAAACGAAAACAAACAAGTATGATAGGAGTACAGCACAGTTTTCATCCCATTATGTTTATTTTTCTCACACCTTGTCAAGCCTCATGTAGCTGGCAAGACCAAGGAATCAAGAACAACACAGATGTCAATAGGCTATACTTAAAAAGCAAGGGTGGAATAAATACATAATTCTATAAACAATGATAGCAATTTTGAAGCTTCTTGTCCATGTAGTCTGTGAGAATTAGACACAACTGAATGGAAGAAAAGAAAGTATGGCTGAGTCTCGCCAGAGCAGTTTTTCCTACCTCTCTCAATAGTTGCCCCTGAATTGCCTTTTTTGAAATAAATATGGAACTCACTTGACTCTAGCATTCCCACAATTTCTTGTCCCTTAATCATTGTTAAGGCTTTAAAGGGAACTTTAACAAACTCATAGATAACAAATATATCAATGGTCATTACTCTCAGTCCTATTTCCAGGGTAAGAAATGCTTCAAATATCAGTTGCAGGAAAACCACAGGAGATGGGTATGCCTTCATTTCCTGTTTGTGAGCTGCCTACAGGCAATTGGTAAGTCTGTTATTGGTTCTCTGTAGAAACCATAAAAACTAAGTTGGACCTTGGCCAGGCCAGAAGGGCCAGTCTTAGGTGTTCTATCATTAAAACTCAGATATCAGAAAGTCAGAAAAGTTGCAATAAAAATTAAAGAGTAAGTTCATATATTTAGAATTAAAAAACAAGCTGCCTTTCTGTTTTCACTAAACAAAACTACGTGTAAACACTAAGGAGTTTACACTTTTCTCATATAAGTATTACGTCCTTATTTTTTTTCAGTTGAGTAGCCTAATTTAAGGCAAGAGTATGAAGCTTCTTTCTTGTCAATATCATCATATGATTGATAATGAAATGAATTAATTCAAATAAGAAATTACTTTAATTTATTTAAGAACATAAATCTATTTTTCCTTGACAACATCCAAGTATTTTAATGTACCAATGCTACCCCTATGCCACCCCAAAGCTAGTATGCTTTCAGGCTAGCTGTGGAATAGAAAATAAAAAAAGCAATCAAAATGGAGAATCCTGAAGATTTGAACTTATAGTTAATCTACGTCCTTCAAAGTGAGTAAAACAAATTGCTATTAAATCGTACTGTAGAATACTTTTTCAGTAGTTTCCATATTTGTTTGCATAGGTTGTACATTTATATACAGTCACCTGGTATCAAATCCTACTGAACTTAATCAGTCTTATATCTGACAAATTGTGCATGTGATTACACTGTCAAATAATGTTAATTTTTGCATACAAGTGTTTAGTATTACTATATCCAATTATTTTAATTTGCATAAAATGTTTTCATACCCGCTTTCGCCTGTTAATATAGTAACAATCCTCTTCAAGTTTCTTTTTCAAGATTTCAGGAATTTCAATGTTTATTGCTCTTTCTTCCATATCTCTTTTAGCATGAGTCTCTTGCTCTTCTTTCTGTATCAATATAATCAATATTTTTTAAAAAAACCTTAAATTTAGTTATACTGTATTAAATATAATAGACTATTAGGAATATTGAAACTATCTAATGAGGCATACATCAAAGCCTGATAAATCCTGAAATCACAAATAAGGACCTGTTGCAGATCAAAGCAAAGAGGAGCATCCAAAATAGTTTTATTCAAGATAAAAGTCCAATTCAAATCTATATCTTGGTGTTTGTATATATCTCAGTGCTTTTATAAAATCTACCTTGTTTTCAGTCTTTCCTAATTATCCTTAGCATCGAACTTGCCTCTTTTACAGCTATGAATCAACATACTTACTGATCTCCTTACTAGAACTCCCAGTCTCATTTTCCTGGTTAGTTACAGATAATAGCAATCCATTAAAGGACAAGTCCTCTTATCTGCTATATGCCCCATGACTGCTAAACTTTCTCAAATGCTTTTGACAAGAAACTATCAAAGTGTTGTTGAAAGGTATGCAATGGTCATCCTCCTCTAGATTCCTACTAATAATTTTTTTTTAAATCCCTCCAGAAGGTTGGTGAAGCAGGATTCATATCAGCTAACTTTTCTGAACAAATTGTTAGAATGTTATTTTAAAAAAACTAAAAATATTAAACACATAGAAGAACAAGAATTGCTGAAAGGAAAATCGGCAAGATCGATGCCGATTTTCCTTTCAGCAATTCTTGTTCTTCTATGTGTTTAATATTTTTAGTTTTTTTAAAATAACATTCTAACAATTTGTTCAGAAAAGTTAGCTGATCATCATGTAACTTTGCTATCGCCCTGCATCTCCTTAGCTTTTTAAAGAGCAGATAATATGCTTCAATTCAAGACATGAATTATGCAATGGATACCAGTAAGTTGATCATTTCTTTTAAGAATTATCGTCTAGTTCTAGGGTCATAGATTAGAGTGAGGAATTTTCCAAAGGTCTGGATCCAGCCCCCAAATCAAAAGTTGTAATAAGCACACATATTCTACAGTGCAAATTTGAACTGATATTAGATAATAAACATTGCCTTACAGACAAAAGTGCTCATATATTTATAATTTCAAACTACCGTATTTGCCGGCGTATAAGACGACTTTTTTGCCCTGAAAAAGATGCCTCCAATTGGGGGGGTCGTCTTATATGCCGGGTCGTCTTATACGCCGGCAAATAGTAATTGGGAAGCACTGCGGCTGCCCGCGGCTGAGGCACTTTTGCGCACCGTGGAAACGAATCCCGTGAAGCCGAAAGGAGCAGCCAGCCTTCTCCCAGCTCCCAAGGAAACGAGGCTCGCACCGCCCGGGCTCCGCTGAGGTATCCGGCTGGGGCTGTCAGGAGTTGTTACCGCTGGCGCGGCTCCGCGCGGCTCCAGTCCCGCGTTGCCTCGGGAAGGGAAAGGCAAAAGCCGCGGCTCTTCCTTTTTGCCTTTCCCTTCCCGAGGCAACGCGGGACTGGAGCCGCGCGGAGCCGCGCCAGCGGTAACAACTCCTGACAGCCCCAGCTGGATACCTCAGCGGAGCCCGGGCGGTGCGAGCCTCGTTTCCTTGGGAGCTGGGAGAAGGCTGGCTGCTCCTTTCAGCTTCACGGGATTCGTTTCCACGGTAGACAAAAGTGCCTCAAAAAAAAAAAAAGTGCAAAAGTGGAAGGCGTGCGGAAGAGGGGGCGAGTATATAACAAACTATATTTTGAGTGGAAATGTTGGGGGGTCGTCTTATACGCCGGGTCGTCTTATACGCCGGCATATACGGTAAAATTACTAAGATAATTCTAAGATAATTGTGGTACAGATAATTCTTGATTTACGACCACAATTATCTGGAATTTTGGTTGTAAGTCATTGTGGTCATAAGTTGAGTCAAGTGACTGGACTTGGTTTAATGACTATTTTTGTGACAGTCAGTAACTGAATCACTGTAGTTGTTAAGCAAACCACATAATTAAGCAAATCATATGATTGGTCATAAGTTTAAATCCAGCTTTTGCAATAGGCATTTTTGCCATGACTGTAAGATTCTGCAGTTGGTTGTCATGTGACCACAGAACACTGCAAGCCAGTAACATTGAGGACTGTTCATAACTTTGAGTCTATCATAACTATGAACAATCACTAATCAATTGGTTGTAAGTCAAGGACAATCTATAGTTCTGACTAATTTAGCAACAATATCACATTTTAACCCAAATGTTACAATGTCTCTACATTAACCTGTATTTTTAACAATATACCTCTAAACGTGAAAATGTTTTATAAAATCATATGATTTATTGAGATGTTTTATAAAACAAAGGTACTTTTTAACTTCCTTTTTTCCCCACCGGCATCTGCATAGCTTAATTATTCACTCTAAAATTAATATCCTCATTCTTTATACTTAAATTTTTTTGACAAAATTTATATAAACTTACCATTTCTATCTTTTCATCAATGTCACTTTCTTCACTCTTTAGCTCCTCTTCTGTTCCTTCATCACTATCATCATCATCAGAACTACTTATAGCTGTTTAAAAAAGAAATGAATTCACATTTAATACATTTGTCACAATATTACATTTAATAATGTTACTTTTCAAAACCAAGACAGCATATTAACTAGAGGTTCTAGCTGAATTATAGAATTTAAACAAAGCACAAAAATGTTTAGGCTATTTAATTTCAAACATAAATAATAGGAATTGGAAGTCTACCTCTTCCAAGATGTAGAATGTTATGGAATCTGAATTGGTTTCATGGAAGTATTATGTTGGGCACCACTTTACTATGACCTTGAAGCATTTTGAATGACTGAAGTATTAGATAGGTAGGGCAAATTACTTACATCTTGTAAGATTATTTGAGATTCTTTTGAGCTTGTGGAAGAGACAGAGGAAGCAGACGGGCTCTTCTAGAGCATGAATTCTGCTTCCTGCAAGCTGGATCAATGAATTGTGCAGATGGACACTATGTGGTTAACTTGGGAGATGGTAAACGTTTAAGAAAGGGATAATGCCATCAGTCTTGAAAAAAGTGATTACATAATCACTTCTAAACAGATCATCTCTTGATCCAACCATGCAATATCCTGGTCAATCTCCAATCTTTTCAATATGATGCAGACTTGACATGGAAGGGAAACAACACTATGCACCCTTATGAGTAATAGTCCGTATATGGAGGGAGAGAACTGTACTCCTCCTGGTTTCATTGGCATTTGATACTATCTAACATGCTAGCCTTCACCATTTAAACACTGCAAACACTGCTTTCTATTGGTTCTACTCCTTCTTTAGCAGGGAGCTTCAGTTACTGCACATGGAGAAGGTAGTTATTCCAATATGAAATAACACAATTTTTATTTCCTGTCACACTTGCCATCTACAGGAAGCCACTATAGAAGAAATCTGTTCGTTTGAGACTAGATATCACAATATGTGAATATATTGCCATCCCAGGCCAAGCTAGAATATTATGAAAATCCTGACCTGGTGTCTGGAAAGTCCAAAGCGAATTCTACAAGACAGAATTCTGTCTATTGTTAAGAAATCTAGCTTTATTTTGGCTTTGATTTGAGGTCCTGGTAGGAATAATAATGATCCCCACTTTAAAAAGCAGGTAACTTTAGGACGCTATAGCCATCACTCTTCACACTGCTCTGACTCATTTAGAACAGCGGGAGGCTATGTGAGGATGCTTTTTGTAGATTTTACTTCTGCATTTAACACAATTCTTCCACATAGATTAGTGTCTAAACTTCTGGACCTTGGACTTTCTTATTCAATCTGCTTTTGGATTATGAAATTCCTGTCTGGCCGCTCACTGAGGGTCAGATTAGGTGATCATACCTCTTTAGCCCTTATTCTTAACACTGGTACACCACAGGGTTGCGTGTTGAGTCTCTTACTCTATACTCTTTATGTGCATGACTGCATTCCTACTCACGCTAGTAATACTATTACTAAATTTGTAGATGATACAACAGTAGTGGGACCCAAATTGTACACTGAAGATGGTATTTAATTTTGTTGTACGAGGTGCAATGACAATAAACTAAACTAAACTAAACTTGGGATTCTTCTGGATTACAACTCCAATCAAAGCAACAGATGGAAGACCTGGTCAATTTTTTTCTTTTTGCTAACTCTGTTTAATGCAGAGGGCACAGCCAATGGCTTTGAAGAACAAGAAGAGTCATTATCTAGAACACGGGTGTCAAACTCATGGCATCACTTTGCCATCAGATGATGTTTCATTTTTCCCTTTATGGAGTGGGGAGGGCATGGCCTACGTGACGCATCCAGCCCACGCGCCGCCAATTTGACACCCCGATCTAGGCTGTGACCTAGTGGGATGTCATGTTATCTGTGGACTCACTTCCTTCCTCAGGATATTTGCCCATCCACAAGTCAGGTCCCCTCTATCAAATGATGTCAATTTATAATGATATGTATGAATGATCTTGAAAGACAGGAGCAAGAGACATAAACTGAATAATTGGCATGTAAAATAGCAATAGCAATAGAACTTAGATTTAGATACTGCTCCATAGTGCTTTATAACACTCTCTGAGCAGTTAACAAATGTCAGAATATTGCCCCCAACAATCTGGGTCCTCATTTTATCAACCTTGGAAGGATGAAAGGCTGAGTCTACCTTGAGCTGAGGATCTTGGCTGTGGGCAGATTTGCCTGTAATACTGCATTCTAAATACTATGCCATCAGGGCTCAGTCCACATAAGGAGAAGGGGAATGGGAAGCATTTCAGAAGGGATCCTTCCTAGTTTTCCAGGGAGTGAAAGGAAAGATGGGATTGCTGTTTTTTAGTTTTTACATAAAGTGGTTTGATGATTGTTAGCTACTTAGACTATATTGTACCTAAAAAGAATCCCAGAGTGTATATTTATTATGTTCTTTAATATTTTTAATGTACTGGTTAAATTCAATTATCCATGTAGATATTAAAAAGAGAGAAAACAATCCACAGGTCTACCTACATTCAATATATCTATTTATATTTACAATTTATATTGTACAATATATGTTAGAATTTATACTACAACTACCTTAATCAACATTTATTTTAAGTTGCAAGTACCTGTGGAACAGAACTTAACTATTTTCCTGCTTATTAACTATATTAATATTTAATTATTATATGCAATTTTTAATTAGATGGCACAAGCATCCTCTATAAGCCAACTTACACTTTTCACTAGTCTTTTCATTTTCTTCAGTAGGAAGGAGCTTCAGTACAGAATCAACACCTGGCAACCTGCAACGCCCTTTCTTTCCTTTTCTTCTCCTAAAGAAGATTGAAGATAAGCTACCAATTAGCTAACATGATTTTTTTACCTGCTTTAAAGCAGTAAAAGTAAAAATTAGCATTGAGAAAAGGGGCATATTTTGGTTTCTTTCTCTGAACATAAAAACATAGTTTTCAAATATACAGGGGTCAATTCACACAAATTACAGTAACATATCTTCTTTTTCCCTCTCCACAGTTTACCATTGATCAGAGCCTAGTTTACTTTTGTCCAGTAATCTGTATCATGTTATCTAAGCCAAAATAAAACCATTATTTTAAGAATGAATAAAAATAAATCAGCAGTATAAATCAGCAAGTAATTCCTTCTTCCATAAGAACAGCAGAAAAAGAAAATCTGTCTTGTTTTTCTACCTGCTACTAATAAGTATTCTCCCTATTTTATAAAACTCTTAAATCAGACATGATTTTCCTGCTATTATATCAGCAATATGTGACCTTATAAGGGCACCAAATATTTTACAGTACAAAATATTATATATTTAAACAAACTGGAAAAATCATCTGCACATATAGAATAGCTACGGCAGATATCCAGAATTAAAGAACTGCAGCTGATACTGAAATTAAGTCATCTGAAAAAGACTTAATCTATTTCAAAAAAAGTGTTAACCATATTTGATTCTTACATGCGAGCCACAGCTTTTCTGGCCAATTTGCGCTGTAATCTGCGGTTTTCATCAGTGTCACGAAGTACATGATCTTCAGCTGCCCATCTGTCCCAACTAAGTAGTTTTTTTTAAAAAAAAAATCAATAATAAATATAATATTATAAAGGATGTCTACCAAGCTGATTGAACATATCAGATAAACAGCAAATGAATTTGAACGTTACCGTGCATATATCTCCTAAGCTCCCAACTAATCTTAAGTGGCACTCTGTATTGAGCAGGTAAGAATTATTTAAACATTGATGTTACTATACAAATAGCATAAACCATCTGGGGATTTTGTAAAGTTAAGATAAAATTAATAGAATTTCCTCATTTCAATAACGTAAGGCCATCATTTTAGGGGAGATATTGAGATGGAAATTTGATTTGCATATAAAATCTGCTGAATCAAGATTTCAAATGATTTAAAATTAAAGACAGAAACATGCTGGCAACCAGTGTGCTATGCAGATTAACTACCAAGGACTTACGATTTAGCAGCACTTTGTACCAGCAGAAGTTCCAAATCATTTTTAAAGTCAATCAGAACATATTAAAGTCCAAGCTTAGTCTAGAGTAGTATGGATTATATCTGAATTAGTAATTCTCTCCTAGTTGGGAATATGTGATATTTTTATTTAAATATATGCTCACCTTCTATTCCAACCATTAAAATGAATCAGATACTCTGGGACCTTTCTTCCTTTCTCATCTTTTCCAATAATAATATCAACAATCTAAAATCAAACACATGTATGCTTACACAAACACTTTTATAGACATGCACTCCAATTATTAAAATCCTTTTTTACAATTCAATGTCTTATAACATAGGATTTTAAGCAAAGTACAGTAATTAAGAAAATATTCCACCACTTCTTTTTAAAAGATTATATTTCAGAGATTAAATGCAGTATTTGAATGCAATAACATCTATTACAAAAAAATTAAACTGACCGGAATAAACTACCTCAATTTGCAACAAATGTAAAATAAATAACTGTATTGAGTTTTGGTATTTACTTCCTTTAAAAGTCAGTAAGGGATAGGTGATTGAAGGGGCAAAGGTGTGATAACATTACACAGCCTGCCATAGCAATATTTCCTTAATGATATCATTACGTTATTTTGGTGTTATTGTGATGTATGTCATATTCTATAGAATGGATCCAAGAATATTAACAACAGGCAATTATTTATGAATATAAATTGTCAAAGTTGTTTTTCAGTTATATGTTTGTTCCAAATATGAATTATTAATTGCTACTTGTCACTGGGTTTTCAAAATTTGATTTCTTGCCTACTTTAAGAAATTCATTTACTCCCCCTCCCGAAAAGAAGAATACAAATTTGCTTTAAAAACTTACTGTTTATTTTGAAAACTCTTATGTACGATTGACACATCTATATTATTGGCTAAGCATATATAAATTAAATCCTGTTGTGAAATCCATATCATCCTTGCTGCATTTTATTCCCAAGCAAGTCAGACAATAGGAATACAATAAGGGAGGGGTTCCCAGCCCCTGGGCCAGGACGCACTGCTATGCCATGGCCTATTGAGAACTGGGCTGTTCGAACAGCCGGCCGGCACCAATGCACGTGCAGTTCAACTTGTGTGAGCAGCAGGTTGGCATGCATGCACACATGCACGCAGCTCAACTTCCACAAGTTGAGCTGTGTGCACAAGTGCCAGCCGACTGCTTGTGCGGCCTGATTCCCCTCTCCCAACCCCAGCTGGGCCACCGTCACAAAGGTTGGGGACCGCTGCAGTAAGTGAACCATCACTCCTCATCAAGCTCAACCTTCATGATTAACTAAAAATCAGCTGCTTCCTCTTGGAATATTCTGGATGTTTCTTCCCTTATTTATTATCCTACCTTTATTATTTGAAACCTTGCAGGCTATATTTGGCCCATATGAAGTGGTTTCTAGAATTCAGGCATCATACTTTGAAGCAAATTCTATACAGAATGATAGAGGTGGAAGGGATCTTGGAGATCCTGTGGTCCAACCCTCCTGTTCAAACAGGAGACCCTATATCATTTCAGACAAATGGTTATCCAATCTTTTCTTAAAAACCTCCAGTGATGGAGCACCCACAACTTCTGAAAGCAAGCTGTTCCACTGATTACTCATTCTAACTATCAGGATGGTTCTCTCCTTGATGAGTTTCCATTCATTGCTTCTTGTCCTGCCTTCAGGTGCTTTATTATGGCAAATATTGGAACACTGCTCTCATGTCATCTCTAGTCCTTTTCATTAAACTAGACATACCCAATTCCTGCAAGCATTCTTCATATGTTTTAGCTTCCAGTTCCCTAATTAACTTTGTTGCTCTTCTCTGAACTCTTTCTAGAGTCTCAATGTCTTATATTGGGATGACCAAAATATATACCAAGTTGCAAAATCCAAATTCAATTGCACACCTTAATTTATAATTACAGGAGCATTTTTGCACAAGGAAGCAAGCTCTATTACAATGCTCAAATCTATCAAATAACTGTCACCAATCAAGGGAACATCTCCATTTTAAAATATAGAAATATGTTAAACTATTTCATTTTTAAATTACACTTAGCTGCATATATTATATATACATACATATATATCAAAAAAATGAAAAATATCTTGTGAAAATGGGTTGCTGGGGACTAATTAGTGCATTTATCATGAAGATGAATATTGCTCTCAAAGACTGTTATTGGTCCACATGATGCATTAAATCACAATTGTAGTGCTGCATGCTATATAAACCCAGGACACATATTGTAGAGGTTTTATGCTTTCCAAAAGACTTAAGAGTGGAATGGAATGTGGGAGGCCTATAATGTTTTACACCCGCTGTCAAATCTATTCCCTAACACTGCTACCACAAAAGACAATGATTTTGTCCTTGAATTTCATCCCCCAAATCTTATGGAATGGTACACGATTCGTAGGTGGTCTGTTAGATGTTAAGAATATAGTCACAATACTCTGAAATGAAATTCCATTTCCTTTTTAAAAAAAAGCTTGCATACCAGTAACCAATCAGCAAAAATTGCATTGGTACTGAATAGACTTTAAGTCAGGGAACAAAAATAAAAAATCCATTGCCAATTAACCAGAAGAGACAAAAACCTGGCATTTCTACGTGTGAAAGCAGTTTTAATATACTCCACTGAGCAAACAGGCATGAAATGCCAGAGGCAGTTCAACTGTGTGCGTTAAACTGGCACTGTATCTGGACTGTACTATATAAACAAAAAACAGCTTATTACCAAGTGTTTGCGTCTGATTAAGAACCGAAGAATCTGCTTATCTTACACTCACCAGAAAATAAAAGAATGATCTATTGTAACCTACACACAGCGTTTGCCTATTGTAACCAAGCATTTACTAGTGTTATCCCCGAGGATCACACAAGTTTTAAATGCACATCGGGATTGGTGGCCCTTTTGCAACAAATACGATTAGGCGTGGATGGAGAGAGAAAGGAGAAGCTTTCTTTCATTCGGGGCCATCTCTTCCCTTATCCGACGTCGTACGTGGTCGTGCAGCGCCCATTTCAAATAGAGGCACCCGCAATCTTAATAATTTTAAATCCTACTTTTTTTTTTTTTTTTTTTTAAAGAGGGAGAAACGGAAATGGAAGAGAGCTGCTTCCTCTTCCCGAGCTCCTGTCAGAAGCCCCGCAAGTGGCAACAACGACACAAACAACGCCCGGAAGCGCCGGAGAGAAAGGAGGCGGCTTCCGTTAGGAGGCGGCGGTTGGCGCGCGGGAAAAGAAGGGCCGCGCGCTGAGCGGAGAAATCCCACCTTGGCATCATAAAGCACCTTCGCCTTGGTCGGGTCCGGCTCGAAGCAAAGAACTCTCTCGCCTTTGTGGAATTTAAATTTCATTCCCCGCGAGGTCATTTGCTCATCATGGCGAAAGGCAAAGCTAGCCACGCCCCCCAGGGGAATGGGGAGAGGGAGGCGCAGCGCGGGCCGCCCAACTCCTGCTAATACTCCGCGAGGAAAGCGTCCTTGGGGCGCAGGCCCACGCGAGCCGAGGGAAACGGGCTTGTCTTTTATCTCCGCGTGTGGCGTTGAGCGTTGGGCGAATTCCTTCGTCCGGAGAATCGGTCGTCCCCGAGTGCTTACCTCCGACCATGGGAAGGCCGCCTCTTTCCTCGGAAGCTTGCGGGAAAGTACAGCCTTTAGTCTAAATCCAATTTTGAAGCTGTGTACGAAGTAGAGATCCCACCACCCTTGAAATAAAGGAAAAGAGCCAGCCAGCACCGTCTCCGTTTGAGTTGCTCGGCTGAAAAACAGACTTAACAGTTGGAAAGGACCTTGGAGGTCTTCCAATCCAACCCCGTGCTCAGGCAGGAGACCCCATCTCATTTCAGACAAATGGTCGCCCAATCTCTTCTTAAAAAACTTATGGTGCTGGAGCATTCACAACTTTTGGAGGCAAGTCAAGTTCCACTGATTAATTGTTCTGTCAGGAAATTTCTCCTTAGTTCTAGGTTGCTTCTCTCCTTGATTAGTTTCCATTCATTCCTTCTTCTTCTGCCTTCTGGTGCTTTGGAAAATAAGTTGACACTCACCCTCTTCTTTGTGGCAGTCCCTCAAATACTGGAGCACTGCTCATGTCATGCCTAGTGCTTCTTTTCACTAGACTTTTCACATACCCAATTCGTGCAAGTGTTCTTTGTATGTTTTAGCCTCAGTCCCCCAAATCATCTTCGCTGCTCTTCTCTGCACTCTTTCCAGAGTCTCAACATCTTTTTTATATTGTGACCAAATCTGTATGCACTGTTCCAAGTATGGTTTTACCAAGGAATTATAAAGTGCTAGCATATCATGTGATCTTGATTCTATCATGTTAATGCAGCCTAGGATTGCATTGGCTTTTTGGCAGCTGCAACTCTTATGTAAGTGATTGTCCACCAGGATTCTAGCTAGATCAAGATTGGATAGCACTTATTCTAAGCCTGTGCATTTAGTTTTTCTTACCTAAATGTAGAACCTTATTTTTCTCATTGAATTTTATTTTGTTAGATAGGATCCAATGTTCAAGTCTGTCAAGTTCTTTCTACATCTTGAGCCTATCTTCTGGAGTATTGGCAATTCCAGTTTGGTGTCATATGTAAATTTGACGAGTTCATCTTCTGTGAGTTCACCTTGTCTAAAACTTACAAAGATTTTGGCCTAAGGCAGAGCTTTGAGTAACCGGACTGCATGCTCCCCTCCATGTAAATGCAGTTCATTAAGTACTACTTTTGGGTGTGGTTGGTCAGCCAGTTACAAATCCATCTGGAGGTGATGCTATCTCACATTTTTCTATATTATCAAGTAATAAATTGTGGTCTTCTTTATCAAATGCCTTACTGAAGTCAAAGAAAATTATATCCACAGTATTTTGCTGTGCCACTAATTTTGTCACATTGTCAGAGAATGCAATAAGAATTGTCTGGCATGACCTGTTTTTGACAAACCCATGTTGGCTTCTGGTTATGACTTTGTTTGCCTCTACATATTTGCAGATTTGTTGCTTGATTATTTTTTCCAGAATCTTCCCAGGTATTGATGCCAGTCTGATAAGTCTGTAGGTTTTTGAAGATTGAAACCACATCACTTTTCTACTCATCTGGTAGTTCCTTGGTGCTCCAGGATCTTTGAAAGATATGGTCAAATGTTTCTGAGATCACATCTGTCAGTTCCTTCAGAACTTTGAGGATTTGGTCTGGTGATTTGAACTCATCTACAATCATAGGGGTTCTCTTATCATTTTCTTGCTTATTTGACTTGCATTCCTAATCTATATTTTACAAAAAAAAAATATTGGTTGGTCGTTTTTTTGTGTGTGTGTGTAAAGACATGCAAAAAAAATAATGAGCTAAGCAGTTCTGCTTTCTTTCTGCTCCTTGTCACCTTGTCATTTCCTCCCATTAAGAGACCAGTTGTTTGCTTGACTTTTTTCTTGTATTTTTACTTGTTGAAAGAAGCTTTTCTTGTTCTTTTTGACATTTGTTGCAAGCCTTTGTTCATTATGGTCCTTTGCTTTCCTGACTTTCTCTTTGTAGGTTTGGGCTATTTGCTGATATTCTGCCTTACATATGTGCCCCTGTTTCCATTTTTTAATACTTGCCCATTTGGTCTTTTGGCACCCATGCTGGTTTCTTTTGAGATCTCTAATTTTTCTTCTTCATTGGCATTGTACTAGGCTGGACTTTTATAATCTCACTTTTCAAGGTTTCCCAAGCTTCTTTCTTCCTCTTGACAATTTTCATCCATTGAATGCTTCCCAAGCTCTCTAAGTTTATTAAAATTAGCTCTCTTAAAGTCCAAAACTCTACTTTGACTTTGTTCTATTGCTTATGCTTGCATTATGTTGAATTCTAATATTGCATGGTCATTCTCCACTCCCACATAGTTCCTGTAACTTCAACCCTTTCTATCATTTCATCTCTTTTAGTGAGAATTCTAGTATGACTAACCCTCTTAGATCCCTTCTCTATCTTTTGGGAGACAAAGCTATAGGCTAGGTTTTCCAGGAATCTGTTTGATCTTCCACTAGGTGCAGAATCTGTCTCCCATTTGATGTCAGGGTAATTAAAGTACCCCATTACTATTGTTGTATGCTTCTTCCATACCTTAGCTAACTGATTGGCAAAAAGTTTGTCAGTTTGGTTTGGTGGCCTATATTAGATACCAATGGCAATTTTAAATGCCAAATGCATTCAAGATAATTTTCATCATTGTTCTGCTTATTTTTGTAGAGATGTATTTATTTCTTATATATAGCACCTCCTCTTTTATTAGATCTGTTTCTTTTAAACAATTTATATCTCCAGCTGTGTGTTCCATTCATGAGTTTCATCCCACTAAGTTTTGGTAACTGCAACAATATCATATGTGCCCTTATGTGCTTGGATTTCTAGTTTACCCTGTTTATTCCTCATACTGAAACTGAGATATTAATATAATAAAGAACACATCAAAAACAGAGTCTTAATCGTCAACCTCAGTAGTTGTTAATGCTGCTGTGCTAATATTTTTAGTCAATCTATCTGAATTATTTGGATAAGTTAGTGGGTAATTTAAAATGTAGCAAAACCAATAAAGCAGATAAAATTTTTAAAAATGCAAATCAAAGTGACTAATCCAAAGTCTTTGCTATATTATGTTGATAGCAATAGCACTTAGACTTACAGACCGCTTCACAGTGCTTTGCAGCCCTCTCTAAGCAGTTTATAGAGTTGGCATATTACCCCCAACAATATGAGTCCATATTTTACTGACCTGGGAAGGATGGAAGGTCGATTCAATCTTGAGCCAGTAAGAATCGAACTGCTTGAACTACTGCAGAAGTAGCCTGCAGTACTGCATTTTAACCACTGTACCACCATGCTTCTGATAATGGACAACATGTGGATTCTGTAATGAGATAAAAATTACTTAATAGTCCAGGTCTGTAAATTTTAAGAGTCCATTCATCTCGGAAAAATGAGTTATGATCAGATTCATTAGAATTGTATTGAATTACTTTACAGGGAATCAGACTAAAGAAATCAGAAGGATACATGTTAGGGAAAAATCCACGTACTGACTTTGACATTAATTAATAATCAGAGTGACTCCGTGTCTTACACAATTTTCTTGTCTGCTCTAAAACATCTGATGTTCCAATCCATTTGACTTCTTTGGTTCCAAGACGGCTAATGTTCATTCAATCATTTCTGCTCTGAAAACATTAAATTAGCTGAACAATGGAAAAATTATGCTTTTGAATTGTGCTGAATAAAATTGTTCACAATACCTTGGATCACAAGAATCTAGCTGCTCAGTGCAAGCATTAAAAGCTTAAATACTTTGGACACAATGTAAAGGCACAAATCAATGGAAAAATTAAACCCAAAAATTATTTGGAAAAATTGAAGGCAATTGAAAAGGAGGAAGACAGAAGAGAAAGCTGAGTACTGATGGCACAGGAATTTACACGGGAGTTTACAAGGACTTATAGAGGTAGTTTATAACAGACTTGCTGATTAAATAATGTCTTTTAGGTTATGAAAATTTAGAAGCAACTGAATGACTGAAGAAGAAAAGGGCAGTCTTGGGGATTTACAAGTAACAGAAAGGATTCTCATTTTTTAAAAACCTAGGCCATTAGGAGTATTAAAACAGGTCATCCTTAACTTACAACAGTTCATTTAGTGACTGTTCAAAGTTACAGCACTGAAAAAAGTGACCATTTTTCATACTTATGACCATTTCAGCATTCCCATGGTCACATGATTTATATTCAGATGCTTGACAACTGACTCACATTTATGACAGTTGCAGTGTCCCAGGGACATATGATCCCCTTTTGTGACATTCTGACAAGCAAAGTCAATGTGGAAACCAGATTCACTTAACAACTGTGTGATTAACAACTGCAGTGATTCAGTTAACAAAAGTGACAAGAAAAATTGTAAAATAGGGCATTTTCTTATTTAACAACATAGGTTTTGGGCTCAATTGTGGTCGTAAGTTGAGGACTACCTGTACTGGAAATCAATCACTCGGCCAGAGGGGAAGGAGAAGATTGCAAAGATAAAGCTAAACTGTTGCCACCAGGGGCATGGGATGAGTTGTTTTTTATTTTTATTGTGTTTTTTTTAATATTGTGTTTTTATTTGTAAATCGTCTAGAGTTGCTGTGAGTGAGTAGACAGCTAGAAAGAAAAAGAAGGAAAAAAGGATGAGGAAGGCTTTTGGTTGTTTTGGTCAAGCTAGCAGCAAGACCAAAGAAAATTGAACATCCTCAGCATAATTGTATATTTCTTCCACATTAACCTGTAATAGTAGTATGGCTATTAGAAGTTATTGAACTGGATTATTGATGAACTATTTTAATAATTGTGATTTGAATTTTTAATTTTATTGTGTCAATTTTACCATGTTTTATTGACTTTTAAAAAATTATTACACATAAGTCTGTGTAATAATGTATAATAATTTTTTAAAAGTCAATAAAACATGGTAAAATTGACACAAAATTAAAAATTCAAATCACAATTATTAAAATAGTTCATCAACATTTGTATAAAGAGAGAATTGTTATAAATTCAACAATACATTTTTACACATTTTAAAACATATCGCCACTACATCAGTTTTCAGACTTGCTATCACATTGTAAAGAAATCTGAAATTCTGAAGGATTAATTTTACAATCAGAAGTATTTTCTTTCTTTAGTTATTGCAGTCAGTTTTGTTTATTGATGGCTATAAAAATTGAAATCCAGTCAAACAGTACACAGATAAACATTGTTTGGGGA